CTCCTCGATGATGGTTGGGGTGACGATCTCCTTACCGCGGAATACACCCCAGGTAACAGCGTTGACACTCTCGGGGTTGGAGGCAAGGTCATCGAGTTCCATATCGGCAGGCTGGGTTGGGAGCGAGGACTCGAAATCGCCCTCGATGTTTGTGGCGAACCAGGTGAGCTTGTCGCGACCGTGCTTAGCGAACATTGGCTTCAGGATATTGGTGTAGTCGTCGTTCGAGCAGAAGAACTCCACGAATGGCTTCTGGAAGACGAAGCCTTCTCGTTGGGGACCCCAGCCGAAGATGGGGTGGTCATTGTGTACACCGTTCACAGCGGGCTGCGAGGCCAGTGTCCACCAGCCGCGGCCATCAATGAGCTTCAACAACTCCGGTCGAATCAGCTCAGTCTCTGCGTTCAAACCCTCACCATCTTCTTCGGCACCACCCTCTGACCACGGGACCATGTGTAGCTCTCCCGAGACGTGGCGACGGAAAAGGGTGCTCATGTCCTTGTTGTCCACCGGGTGGCCCCATAGCCTACGTGCGGAGTTGGCAGTGACATGGAGCGAGGGACCATAGCCGTCGATCTCACCAAAGGCAGGTGAGCGAGCATCGCCCCATCGTCCGTTGGGGAAGTCATCCCATGTTGCTTCTCTGCCAAGGGCACCGAGACCCTCGGAGATGAGAAGAGTAGTACTGCGGTTTGGCGGGGGTGCAGGCACGCCTGCGCTATCTGCGCGGGCCTCGTGGACGGAGTCCTGCGATGACCCGTGGACCGATAGCTTGTCGACAATGACGCGGTTGTGGGGTTGCGAGTTCATAGAGGACGCACGGCGTCTGCGCGAGGCACGTTCGGGGAAATCGAGCGGAATGGATGCAGGGCCATCCTCGATAGCATTGTCTCCAGCATCCGAGTACGACGGAATCAAATCGCATTGTTCTAGGATAAATGATACTGTCTTCTCCAAGTTCAAGGTGTAGAAATGGAATCCTCGCGGTCCCGGGGAGGGAAGCTGGCTCATACCACCCACAATCTCGCTAACGATATCCACACCCGCGCGCTTGACCGCGTCGTCGTCGTGCTTCAATTCTTCCATGCGTTTGGCAATGGGAGGTGGGATCGTGACATGGCTGAGCTTAGTCACACGGGTCAGAATCTTATAGCTGTGGATGGGCATCAAACCCGGAATGATGGGGATAGTCTTGAAAGCACCAGACTCATGGTTGCGAAGCATGTGTTCAAACTTCTGGTAAGCGTCGAGGTCGTAGGTCAGTTGGGTCATGATGAAATCCGCTCCAGCCAGTGTCTTCTCGACCAGGTAAGGTATATCTCTGGCCGGATCCTGGACGTCCTGGAACGTGTCGGCGGGATGGCCCTCCGGGTATGCGGCAACACCAATACAGAAGTAGTCGCCATGTCTCTGGCGAATGTATCGTACCAGATCAATGGCAAAAGTGAAATCCTTGTTGCTATCGTCCTCTCCGTGCATGTTATATTCCTCGCTGCGGGGGGATCTCCTCGTAGGGCCAGGATGTTGCGAATTCCGAGAACCTTGGCCTCATCGAGAGCCATATCCACCAATTTTCGGCTCATGTTCGTACATGTCAGATGCAGGACGGTGGTCAACTGCAGTTGGCGCTGGCATACTTCCGCCAGCTCGAGCGATCGTGCGGCAGTGCTACCACCGGCACCCCAGGTAACTGTGACGAAGAGAGGACGGAGTGCTTGTGCCATCCGCTCCAGACGCGCGGACAGGTTGGCGAAGCCCTATAGTAGGCCATATTAGCAAAATATCCACGACTGTTCAGCAGGCGGGGTAACCCCCACCATTCGGGTCTTTGGAGGGAAGAACTCCAAGGAAAAGTAGTTGGCATCTGGCGGCAGAGCCGCGATCTTCTCAGTGATCTTCTTCTCCATTGCGTCCTATAGGTGTATGGGTCGGCAATGGGAGGGGTTGAATGAAGAAGAGAGGATTCGGGGCAAAAGTGGACCATGTCACCATCTGCTCCAGTCGCATCGGGAACTATGATGTCTACAGCTGCCGACTGGCCATCGCGCATGAAAGGTCTACTGCAAATACACTACATGGATTTAAAGGCTTAAATACTGTTCCTATGCAAGGAGTAACTTTATCTTGATCCCGAAGAGCTAGAGAAAAAAAGTGACAGTGCAAGAGATGACTCAGCGAGACAATCGTCATTTTTCCCCGGGGCCCGAGGTCTCATCGGGATCGGCGAGCTTAACGCGAGCACTTGTTTTGCACTCATGTATTTTGGCGTCGGAGAAGGATTATCTTTTGAACATATGTAGTCTCTCTTTTTGAACTCCACAAGTTTGCCAATTCATTCACGAAAACATGGCCTCCCAACCACCCAACTTTCTCCGCTATCTCCGTCTCCAAACAGCTCGACACGCTAGATCGCATGCGTCGCGACGAACCATTTCCACTCCATCCCCTCCACAGCCACCGAAACCATCACAGCCGAGCCCTAATGACTCTCGCTCTCGCCTACGTCGGCTCAACGACTGCCTCCCTCGCTTTCTCCGCACATACACTACGCCCTTATTAGGGGCGCCGGTCACCCATATCACTTCATTCCTAATACTTCACGAAATAACCGCTATTCTTCCAATATTTGGATTGGTTGGTGCATTTCACTATGGTGTCTGGATGCCGGATCTTGCATCGCAAACAGGCGAGACCAATGCCTTCGACGAAGGAGCTGCGCGTTTCGGCCGCTGGCTGAAAAAGAAAGGTTGGGTGAATGAGTCCGACGTGAATACTGTTGCCGATCATGAAACCACTGCGGAGAAGACCGTGGATCGAGCAGGTGTTCGATTGGTACTGGAATTTGCTACAGCCTATGCGGTCACGAAAGCTTTGTTGCCAGTCCGGTTGGCAGTGAGTGTTTGGGCGACACCGTGGTTTGCAAGGTCGGTATTTACACCGATAGCAAAGCTAGCCGGGCGTCTCTTCGGCAGAGGATGAGCTAGTCGAGCACTACTATGATACCAGAGAGAAGTATATTCATAGGTCTATGAATTTGTATATTGTGTATTTTGTCAAGCCATTGGACTTCTTCCTCAGAACTGCTGCTTTATTCTATGCTACAAGTATCCGAACAAGAAGTCCGCCCGACTAGTCCACTTAAAGGCGAAGAATTTACTCGTAAACCCAAGCGGCCTGGGCGGAGGTGTACTTGAGGACCTCGGAGGCACCGAACCAGAGAGCAATCTCCTTCTTGGCGTTCTCGACGGAGTCGGAACCGTGGCAGACGTTGCGGCCGACATCCTAGTCAAATTGTTAGTATGAAATGACGCGATCTCAGAACATAGGGGGTTCCTTACGATGGCGAAGTCACCACGGATGGTACCGGGGGCGGAAGCCAAGGGGTTGGTGGCACCGAGGAGGACACGGCCAGTCTTGACGGCGTCCTTACCCTCCCAGACCATAGCGCAGATGGGGCCGCTCAGCATGTCTAGAGCTTTGTTAGTGTATCTGGATTTGCGGAACCGTTCGGACGAGGAAACTAACAGGCGACGAGACCCTTGAAGAAGGGCTTGGTGGCGAGATCAGCGTAGTGCTTCTCGAGGTGCTCCTGGCTAGGGGAGGTGAGCTTCATGGCAACGAGCTTGAAGCCACGGTTCTCGAAGCGAGAGATGATGGGTCCAATGAGGCCACGCTGGTTGATGCTGTCAGTAAATGTCGTTCAATTGCGAAGCTCTTCCGGGTCCGTTATGGATTCAAGTCGAAGGGGGGTGTGTCCGTACCTGGACACCATCGGGCTTGATGGCGATGAAACTAGAGCAATTGATTAGCTTTACCGGCAGCGAGGGGTAATAGCAATCGAAAAAGAAGGGGGATTAGGGAAGACCGGTTTTGAAGCACATACGTCTGTTCTTCGTTGGCGGACATTTTGAATGTATGAGGATGATAATCAAAGGGTATGGAGTAGGAAAAGAGAGCGGAAGAGGGAAAGATTAAATAGAGGCTTTTAAAAAACTCGGGCCTTCCCACTTGGGCCGTTGATTGGTGGCCGGAAAGGAGGGGTGTTGATTCGCGATGCCTGAATTGTAAGGCATGAAGTGGACTTTTGTAACTAACTATACTTTTTTCACTCTTTTGCTTCATAAACCCGACTACGAAGATAAAAACATCTATCAACTCGAAAATAACAGTTCAATCCAAGTAAAAGCATCTAAATTCAAGCCATGGTTCCTTCAAATAACAACTCGCGTCTAGCCCCGTCCCCAGCCGTTTCCCCTGGCAACTTCCCCTGAACTTCAGCAACGTGCAATCTCCCAACTGGCTCCCAATTTCTACTTTCGAGACCCTCTATTCTTCGATGCAGTAGAATAATCTCTTGCAAGCCTCTAAGTAAATGAACAGCGGCTGCTAGGGGGAGTCGCCGTTTTCGACCTCTGTATACTTTGCAAATAGCTAGTCGTCAGGGCAAAAGCTGAGGGGAGATCCAGCTCGACTTAGCTGGTATTACAAATAAAGGCCCTCCATCCACCTGAAAACCAAAATAGACTTAGAACTATGTACTCGAAGTATATATGTACGGGTTCACCATGTCAAATAGGGAGAACTCAGGCTTTATAACAACTACCCATGCACTGAATGAAGGGATGTTTTATAGAATGCTGCTTCACTAGGATAAAAGGATAGTTACTAAAGTCTGTATGATTTCCCATGCTTGCTAGCTAACCTACTGAGAAGGTTGGTGTTGTTTTGTCACTCTCATCTTGTCTGCCTTGCCAGACTGCCCATTGTGCCTTTCCCTCTCCAATATATATGAAACAGGTACGAGCCTGAACGATACAATTGTCGTATGGTGCTGTTGCAGTTTACATTCCTTTTGGCCTATCATATCTCATTCATATTCTTTAGGCGAATTTAGTTCGTCCCAGACCCTGTCCAAACCGAGACTATCATTCTCGAATTCCGCGGCGCACCTTTGGGCATATGGCCCGCTTGTCCGGGAGCGGGTGTCCCTTAAAGGCACACTAATCAAATTCGATGATCGCTAGGGCATCAATATCTCGGTCTGCAAACATAACATTCTCTTGATAAAGATTGTTGTGGACAAGATTCAAGGCATGAAGATGATCAATGCCTGCCCTGACCTGCTCGAGGCAGCTTTCCTTGTCGACCGAGCGGCCGTCCCTCGGGCGGTCTCCGAGCGTCTCCGCGTGTTTTTGGAAGCAGAGCCCGGTAACCCGGTCGTCTTTTACCACGCAGCCAAGATAGCGGGTGACGTTTTCATATGGGTGTTCCATTAAGAACTGGCAGATATGCGCTTCCTGGAGCAGGTATTTGCTGAGTGCCTCTGATTGTCGTAGCGGGTGAGCTGGGCTGCTTGATATTGACGTCCGGGCTGTGAGGGTTTTGTATATTGTGAGGTTATAAAATTAAGTCACTCTTATTATATCTTACTTTATCAAACTGCTTTATCATCAAATGTTTTATCGTCACTTCATCTTCAAGGGGTCAAATCCAGTAGGAATCAGGTAGAATACACAATTTTTTTCTGATCAAAATGAATGTTCTTTTACTATATATACCAGAAGTAGGCAGAATATATGGCAGAAAAAATAAGGTATGGGAGAAATAAGGCAGAAATACGGCAGAATTCTGAGTGGTACTCCTCTAGAAGGCGGTACTGAAATTTCAGGCCGGGGGGTGTCAGATTAGGCAAAAGGGGTGTCGGATTAGCCAAAGGGGTGTCGGATTAGCCACAGGGGGTGTTGATATATCAATCCCCATAAAATATTGTATCGCGGATCATTTATCTACCTACGCGCATGTAACCAAAAAGATGAGTGACAAGCTACTGGATCTAATAACTAATCCTGACAAGCATTCTCCAATGGACCAAGGCTTTTCTATAGATTCTTGAAAACTTACTGGGTGGTGGTCAAGATCAAAACCATGCTCCGAACGATAAGGCTCTTTGTCGGCCCAAGATATTGAGTTCATGACTTTGTCGTTGAATCATACTTATCTCCCCGTCTCCCCCTTCTATGTAGATAATGGTCAATGTTCTTTTCCTTTTTCTTTTAGAGTGCACCATCGTAACAGGCTTGAAATTCGTTTAGTCATTTCGATACGTGTACTAGAACTTCTAGGATTTGGGATAACTTTTGCCGGAACTCAGTGAGTCTCTGCCTATTTTGCTAATCAGTCTCGTCCAATTTGTCGGGCAAAATGCCTGCGAGGCGCTGATGCGATACTCGCCCTTCAGACTACGAGGTCTGGTCTCATCTACCATGCCCTCTACAACCCGCAGTGGGTCCGGGGCCCCACTTCGGGTTAGTCTAAATTCTAGGACAGCATACGGAGTACGGAGTACTACATACTAGTTTATGCAGATACTGGCTGTAATATAGAACATTGAGCTTGCAATATCACAATAGTATGAGCGAGAAAAGAGACGAGTACATTTTCTATTTAAAAACCACATAATAAGTACATAGTACAAAAAACAAATAAAACCTAGTATAAAAGACACCCAGTTAGCATAATACAGTCCATTGTATTGCTCGCTCTTCTCCCAGCCTCACACCAAGTTTGTTGCAGGTAGCTCCATATTCATACCTCATAGACTGCCTAGGTGCACTTTTTGTATGGCCTTTATAATACCTTTGGCTGTTGTGTTAGAAAAAGGAAAGAAGAAATTCCATATAGCTGAGTGATCTCGAGACATTCATTAACCTCACAAAACGGTAAAACAGAACGGTAAAATCACAGTGTCCATATCCACATGTATGTCTCTCTCAATAGAACCCAGCAGCCTTCAAAGATTTCCATTGGGCTGCGACGTCCAACGGTCCCCGGGCGATAGAGTCACCAATCAAATGGACAAGAACATACTGTTTGCCGGAGAAAAACCACGCCTCATGTTTGTTCGTTCTCGGCTGAAACACAACAGCATCGACTGTCTTGAACTTGGCTGCTGCCAAAGCATTGAAGCGCAACGCGATATTACCCGATTCCAAGAGTATATTCCGGATGACATCAATTAGAGCGTACCTTTCCTTGCGGAAGAAACATACGACATGTTGATACTCGCTTCCTTTGAAACTGAAAGGCAATGATGCGTCCACCAGGTCAAAGCCCACATCTTTCAGGGCAGGCCATTTCTCCTGGAACCTGAATGGATTGCCGTTGGGAACTCCGGTCCCACCATGCATTCTCAAGCAACGAGATCCACAGAAAAAGTATGCTTCCTTTTCGTTGTCTGTTGCAGTGAATATGGAATTTATCGGGGAAAATCCGAATTTCTTAAGCCCGGGCCACATTGACAAAATGTCGCTACCACGTTGGTCGTCGTGCTCTTTATTGGGATCGATGCGAGCATACTGGTTATCATTGAAGAAGTAAATCTCACCCTCTGCCCATTCAACTGGGAAAGCTGCCTTGGTCGAGCCGGAGAATCCTAGAAGCCCCTTGACACGGTCTAGAGGGTCGACTCCTGCTGGAATAGTCGAGTACAGGACCTCTCCGCTCTTCGTGAAGCTCCTGATGACCTGCTGGCCACCGTCATCCCGAACCATCCAGTCGGCAAAGTCGTTTGCCGTTGCTTTGTTTTTGGCATTCTTACCGACCAGAATGTGAGCATGGTTAAGTAGAAGATCGTTTTCGTCGTCGTTTCCTTCGGCCTAGATTGGATGTTAGCATGTAATTCTCGATAATACATTTCCGGAAATAATTACAAAGATTGTAAGCTGTTTTCTCGTCTCATCTTCGATCGCCAGCCAAGTCTCCTTGTCTGTCACGGTGTATTCGCCTTTACAGGCCGCCTCACGTATAGCTTGAAAGGACAAACCAGGGAACATGTGATACCACGAGGTTGGAGGATCGGCCCATGGAACCTGGCCAATCGTGGCCCAGAGCAGAGACTCTACGATGTTTCCATCGGATCTGTCATAACTGAGTGAAAGCACATGGTTAGTGGATGCCAAATATCCGATGATCGGGAATGAAGGACCAGCCCGAATACCTACCGCGACAGGAACTTGATGGGCTTCGCTGAATTCTTGCTCTCTTCCATTCGGTTGAACAACTTGGTAAACAGACTAGATATTCTGGTCTGTCTATCCTCTGGGAGGTTCGCAGGGTTGTTTTTTGGGCCTGCAGTATTCAATACATAAGATTAACCGAGACTTGAAATGTTTATTGGAGAGGATGAAAACCATACCGACAAGCATCCAATGGTCCCGCCACGCGTACACGACTCGGTCAATGACCTTGTCATTTAGCGCATGAGACGTGATAGCGATATCCACGACCTCTTTGAGCAGATTCTCAATCATAAGAGTAGTATCAGTCTTGTACCATTCAATAAGGAAAGGCTCAGCTTTCTTGTGATCGACACAACTATTGGCCTGTAGGTGAGAATTTTGAAGCTTCAAAGCATTCCCGCACACATTTTTTGTCTTGGACAAAACTTACTATTGGACGAAACTTTTTGCCAAAGCCTCCAGCAGACCAGACTGACCAGCTCCGCCAGTTGCAATGCGGAGAAGAACCTTCTCCTTGTGGGTGCTATACACGGCAGTGGGAGCAGTTGGTTCAGCCATCATCAGAGGTTAGTGAAGGAATAGTCAACGAATTCAAATGATATTGTACTTGTTCTTTTCTAAAACCTGGAGATATAGATCACAAAGGTATATATACTCTGTGCCGGTCATTGGTAAGATAATTCCCTCGTCGACCACAGTGGCTGGCTGATGTTCTACAAATAGACCACGTTGACTAGCTGGTTTCTACAAGCCGACCACGTTGGCTAGCTGATGCATTGATGACATGTCCACGCAGTAGGATAGTGGATGATCTATTTCGACTGGCAGGGGGTAGTTCACCCAACCGGGGGCCCACTTAAATCACGTGAAATCTTCTTAATACTCCGTAGAAATTGATCCATCAAGCAGACTAGCTTCACCTATGGTCAGAGATTAGTGATCATGTGCAGTTGTATTCGCGAATATCTCATAACATATGTGTAAATATCAGCCGTGCAGCAAATGCGCATATATTGGCGTGAAGACATCATAACTGTATAGACAAAATGCGGTAAATATTTGATAAACGTCGCTTTGAGGGGGTGATACTTTAGTGCGATATCCATTACATTGGGCGCGGGGCTTTGGTTTGTTGATGGCGTCGTTCATAGCTGCTGAAAACGCGTATTCGGTAAGCGAGCTGCGCGCGCAACCGAGCTGCGCACCCCAAAACATATAGTAAAGGCAATATATTACAACTTCATATCTCAACAACGGTGGTCCGTAGGGACTTGTATTTATGACATAGTACTATATATATGATATCTAGCATATCTAGGGAGGTTTAGGAAAATTTATGGCTTTATGACTGCGATATATATTCCTAGCTTTTAGGGATGTAATTTTCGGTAATATTTGAAATGATAGTAAGAAAGTATTCCACTCTCTTTGAAATTGATATATAGTATTAAGAAGTCTTATCAATAACTATCGACAAACGGAGAGATAGGAGGAACATATGGTTGTTGAGATATATATGTGGAATACATCGCATTTACTATGTGTCTTGGGGTACGCAGCTCGCTTACCGAATACGTTATGTTATGATGAGGAGAATAACTCACTCTCGTGTCTAGCTAGCTGAAGACTTGCACACCGCTTCTTAGACGAGACGGTTTGTTGGAACGGTGAGTGCAATACTGTGATTGGGCGACCATCGACTTTCAACTAGATTGAGTAGGCGAGCAGATTTTCAGTTGCTATCTCTGCTCGTATCTTATTTTTGTGTTTTGAGATGTATGACACGTCATCCTATAATTTTGATATCACAGGTAGGCCGAACTGTAGAATAGTTTTTCCTCACATCTTCCCGTATATCTCACATTGAGAATTAGTAAAGGAGAGTACAAGTACAAAGGGAGCTACTGGCATGGCAGGCATCTCTAAATACGTTCCGACATCGGGCTCTCCTATGGAGACTACTGAAGTATTGGCGCCGGTTGCATAGATTTGCATAGACTCGAAACAAACGTTTAGTCGTCAACATGTAAGGAATGGAAAATGAATCACGACAGAAATGGGACTAAATCATTCCAGGTGTTTGCTCCTACTCAACTTCTGGGTCCGAATAGAATGCCTTAATCTTCCTCTCAGCATAAGAATAGTCCGCTTTGACGTCCTCGAGCGCCTCCACAATCCGTCTCAAGCATAGCTCAGAATCAGGTTCTGTTGAGCCGTCTAAATCTTCGTTCATTCCGTAGTGCTGAATTTTTTCGCAGCCTTTCTGCACTTTGACAAGCCCTATAGTTGCTGAAGAATTTTTTAAAAAATGGGCAAGTTCGTATATTTGTCGGAGTTCCCCCTCCGTTCTATATTGATTTAAAGATCCGTCAGCAATCCATCATAATTAATTATTATTACTCAAAAGCCCCCGTGCATAAAAGCATCATTTCGTACAAAGGTTCAATTTTGCACATTTATTTCTAGCAAGGTTTCACGCAAAGTTCCAGTGAGACCGAAATAGTCTCGAGAAACAGAAGGGTGAACTTACATTGCCAAACCTATTCGTTCAAAAGTCTCTTCAGCCTGCTCGAAGAAGCCATAGCAGATACTGTTGCTGAACTCTCTATCGTCGGGGTTATCGTCCATTTCCAGAATCTGAATCCACTGCGTCACCGAAGCTGTCCTCCAAGTCCTGGTAACATGGTTAACAACTAAATCCGAGGGCCCCAAAAAAGACGATTGACATTGAACACTAACTTTTCCTGTATTGGTTGACATAGTGTTTACTTGTCTGTTCGTGGGTATTGTGTGTTGTCTGGAGATGACTGAAGATTGTAGGCGAGAGACGAGTTTATGTAGACAGCAAAAGGATCGACCAGTCTGTCCGAGTGTTCAGCTTCAACGTCATCGAGTCGACATATGTATTGCTTTTTCGGGTACGGAGGAGCGAGATACCGCACAAACCCACAATTCGACTTCGTTCTCGCTTCATGGTGACAGGCGATGATGTGATCTCTGAATAGCTTCATACTTTCATAATATGGGGCTGATCGTAGAAGTATTACATATGTGGCTGGTGTTAACTAGTCAAAGGCTGTGCTTTTTATACTAGTGTGATACCGTAAGTGCCAAGAGGTACTCGGCCTAATTAGGTTAGAGGACTGTGGCAGTAGTGATTCGGGCTGTGCCAACAGTGTTTACCTTCTATGCATGTGACTGAACTAAGCAAGATCTGCTAACATCTAACTACCAGCCTGAGCACGGCAGATCAATAGAAAAGCGGTATAGTCACATACATATGTAGGTATGTGGTCATATCGCGAACGCCGATTGGTTCAAACGCAAAGCAAGTTGATTGGCTGTTCAGAAGCTGTAGTGGCTGCCTTGTTGCCTTAGGGATCTTACCCCAGCTCAGGCCAGCTCAGCTTGTAGCTTCTGTTGACGGCATCTCCACCTCTAAATGCAGGTCAATCATTGATAAACAACGCCACTCTGTCGGAGATTGAGGGTCTCTGATTGATCGTACTATTTATTTCACCATGGCCAGGAGTTTACCTGCGCCCCGTTGGGCAATGTTGCTCTCCCTGGTTATCCTTCTCGTCTGCATTGTGGTCCCCGGCTGTAAGGTTGCCTTTTGCCAAATTGCAAAATTACAGAAAGCTAACTCTTATGCTACGAATAGTTGCGGTCAAACACAAGGATTTCAAGACTTGCGATCAGTCCGGGTTCTGCAAACGAAATCGTGCCTACGCCGATAACGCCTCTTCTCAAGGCACTTCATGGAGCTCACCTTACGAGCTAGACCCCGCCACTATACATTTCAATGATGGAATGCTTACTGGAGTCATTTTGAAAACCACGACTGCCAATGAAAAGGTCCGGCTACCTCTCACGGTGTCTTTCTTGGAATCGGGAGCAGCCCGCATTGTGGTGGATGAAGAGAAGCGGATGAAGGGCGACATTGAAATGCGACATGGCAGTCAAGCAAACAAGAAGCGATATGATGAAGCCGAAAAATGGGCTATCGTGGGTGGTTTAGAAGTCAGCAAGTCGGCCACGTTGAATGCCCAGAGCGAAACTGGATTCACGAACGTCTTGTACGGACCGGACGACAAATTCCAAGCGATCGTTCGCCATGCGCCATTTGGAGTCGAATTCCAGCGGGATGGACAGACCCATGTTCAATTGAACCACCAGGGCTTCCTGAACATGGAGCACTGGCGACCGAAGGTAGATGCCGAAGACGGCGAATCCGGCGAAGATGAGAGCACCTGGTGGGAGGAGACGTTTGGGGGAAATACCGACTCGAAGCCGCGTGGTCCCGAGAGTATTGCTCTTGATATTACCTTCCCCGGTTATAGTCATGTATTTGGTATCCCAGAGCACGCAGATTCGCTCTCGCTCAAGGAGACTAGGGGTGGATCTGGCAACCATGAGAACCCTTATCGTCTATACAACTCCGATGTTTTCGAGTATGAACTCGAAAGCCCGATGACCTTGTACGGAGCCATCCCGCTGATGCAAGCCCACCGCAAGAGCTCCACTGTCGGGGTCTTCTGGCTCAATGCAGCGGAAACGTGGATCGATATTGTCAAGTCCACTGCCTCCTCCAACCCCCTGGCCTTGGGCGCCCGCTCCAAGACTGACACCCAGACTCATTGGATGTCTGAATCCGGTCAGATTGACCTGTTCGTCTTCCTCGGGCCGTCACCGAATGATATTAGTAAAACATATGGTGAACTCACAGGATATACACAATTGCCCCAGCAGTTTGCCATTGGATATCACCAATGCCGTTGGAACTATGTTACGGACGAGGATGTCAAGGAAGTCAACGCCAAATTTGACAAGTACCAGATTCCGTACGATGTGATCTGGCTTGATCTTGAGTATACCGATGACCGGAAATACTTCACCTGGGACCCTCTCACCTTCCCTGATCCTACGGGTATGCAGCAAAAGCTCGATGAAAGTGAGCGAAAGCTCGTGGTTTTGATCGATCCTCACATCAAGAACGCGGACAAGTACTTCGTTTCAGAAGAGCTTAGAAGCAAAAACCTCGCTGTGCTGAACAAGGATGGCGAGATCTATGATGGATGGTGCTGGCCAGGTTCCTCAAACTGGGTCGACTGCTTTAACCCCGCTGCACGTGCCTGGTGGGCCACGCTACACAAGTTTGACAAATTCAAGGGATCGCTTCAGAATCTTTTCATCTGGAATGATATGAATGAACCCTCTGTTTTCAACGGGCCTGACATGACCATGCCCAAGGACAACTTGCACCATGGAAACTGGGAACATCGCGATATTCACAACCTTAATGGTCTCACCCTTGTGAACGCCACCTACAAAGCAATGCTGGAGCGCAAGAAGGGGGAGATGCGCCGGCCATTCATCTTGACGCGCTCGTACTACTCTGGGGCCCAGCGGGTGTCTGCTATGTGGACTGGAGACAACCAGGCCACCTGGGACCACCTAGGGGCTTCTCTCCCCATGGTCCTGACCAACGGTATCGCAGGCTTCCCCTTCGCTGGCGCAGATGTCGGAGGATTCTTCCATAATCCTGATAAGGACCTTTTGACTCGATGGTATCAGACAGGTATATGGTATCCCTTCTTCCGCGCGCATGCTCACATCGATACTCGTCGTCGTGAGCCGTATCTGATCAGCGAGCCCCACCGGTCCTACATCGCTCAGGCAATCCGTCTGAGGTACCAACTGATGCCTGCTTGGTATACCGCCTTCCACGAAGCCTCCGTTAACGGCACGCCAATCGTTCGCCCTCAGTATTACATGTTCCCAGAGGACGAGCAAGGCTTTGCCATCGATGATCAGCTGTACCTTGCTTCCACGGGTCTTCTCGTCAAGCCTGTTGTGCAGGAGAACACGCGTAGTGCAGAAGTATATATCTCCGACGACGAGAAGTACTATGACTACTTTGATTTCACCGTCTACCAGGGTGCGGGCAAGAAACACACCGTCCCTGCGCCAGAGGACAAGGTTCCTGTGTTGATCCAGGGTGGTCACATCATTCCCCGCAAGGACCGTCCTCGTCGCAGTACCGGTCTGATGCGATGGGACCCATACACACTACTCATTACCCTAGACAAGAATGGCGAGGCGGAAGGCAGTCTGTACGTGGACGATGGCGAGACGTTCGACTACGAGCGTGGCGCCTACATTCACCGCCGCTTCAACTACCGCGACTCGGTGTTGTCGTCGGAGGACATTGGTACCAATGGACCCAAGACTGCCGAGTACCTCAAGACCATGACTGGTGTGACAGTCGAGCGGGTGGTGATCGTTGACCCTCCCGCCGAATGGAAGGCTAAGAACATCGTGAGTGTCATTGAAGATGGAGCCAAGTCAGGCTCTACGGCCTCCTTGGAGTTCTACGAGCAGGAGGCCGGGAAGGCATCCTATGTTGTGGTGAAGAAGCCGAATGTTGGTATTGGAAAGGCATGGCGGATTGAGTTCTGATTGATATCTTTCATTTCTTGCACAATACATGTATGCAATATTCACGTCATTGGAAGTTGATAAGCCTGCATATGGTTCTTTATATAAAATTGTCCGATAGGGAAAAACTACCCCTTCACAAAATCTAACGCCATCATATCGAGGATTACTTCTGATCCACAGATTCTCACGCAGTTTGTTCATCAAGAAACCTCCCAGCTTTGAAATTGAGATATGCAACCTCAATGCTAAAAGTATGTCTTCGCGCCGGGCTGTGGTGCCAACCGCTGCCGAGTTTGTTTAGAGTTTCTTTGATGCTTTCGATCTTCCCATCGCCTTTTCCGAAGTGGGCCAGGCGAGTCAAGCTATCGAATGACCAGCCCAAGCCATGTGCGGAATTCTGGTGGTCTTGATTATACTACGGCTCGTGCACAACCATATTTCCCACCAATAGGAAGATATGAAATTCTAGCGGATTCATGTGCATCTCTCTTGTTGCAACTTGAGACAGGATTATTGAGCAGACACGACATTGAGCACTATATCATGCCAAGTTAACACAGGGCTTCTTGGTGGAAACATCCAATCAAGCTCGAATGCCCTCCTTTCCGGCCAGAAATGTGAAATATGTCGCAGTTTACCATATGTCCAAAGGAGATTGGAGCAGATGTACCGGATAAAGGTCCGGAGAAAGGCCTGGAGAAGACCTGGAGAAGGCCCAGAGCAAAGGCCGGAGAAAGGCTCATCATTGCACACCCCGCATGCCAACCCACAGTGGTTGTCCGTGCTTTCCGCAGCAGGTCAGGCTCTGACTGGATGCCTATCAACAAGCTCACCTTGGCAAAGACCACTATTGGTCGCCCCCACATACTTCTGGGAGTCACTGGATCACGCCCTTCAACGCCAAGCTTCCCCGCATTTCTTGGCTATTGGAACGTAGACGCCAAGACTGGGGTAAACAATGGCATCTGAAATCATTCCGTCATTCTATTTAGGATAACCGACATGATATAACTAGCTATATCCCTCGTTTGGTTGATGTGCTTGTGCCGCTCCTCTGAGACTCCATAACTACAGGAATATCCCTCGAGCGTGATAGCCAACGGTTGTATACTACCAATTCACAGCTATGAACCGCGGCTCTATCGGAAAAGACGATGTCGAGATTGTTGATCAAACTGCTCATGTCGAACACATTCTCAAGCCTTCTCTGGTCACTCAGATTGGAGACTTTCGTGTCATCGGTTTAACCCCCGAGGATGCAGATTTCTATAACAACTATCCGGAGGAGAAACGAAAAAGAGTCTTCCATAAGGTGAAAATACGAGCTATTCTCATGAATATCCGCCTAACTCTGTATACAGGTCGATAAGCGTTTGATTCCCATGCTCGCAGTGTTATACCTGATTTGCCACATTGATCGTGCGAATATCGGCAATGCCAAAATCGAAGGCATGGTCCAAGATCTCATTGCAGTATAATACTGTTCTGTCTATATGTAAGTTCATTTCCTACTGCCGACTCTTTTGTAACTGATGTGTAATGGCTCTCAATTTAGTCTTCATTCCCTACGTCGTGCTGGAAGTCCCCAGTAACATCCTTCTCAAAAGGTTCAAGCGTCCTTCGGTGTACCTTGGACTTCTTGTCTCGGCCTGGGGTATTGTCATGACATGCACGGGTCTGGTCCAAAACTTTGCTGGTCTTATGACCACTCGAGTCCTACTTGGTGCTCTTGAGTCAGTGACAATGATGAACCCCTTTCTGCTTCGCATTCTAAAATCCTTATAGGGCTGGTTTCTTCCCTGGTGCTATTTATCTTTGCTCCTACTGGTACATGCCTAGGGAATTGGCGCTTCGTATTTCATATTTCTACTGTGCCAGTGCGCTCTCCGGTGCGTTCTCCGGCCTGTTGGCTGCCGCTATTGCCAAGATGGACGGTATTGCTGGACTTAAGGGGTGGCGGTGGATCTTCATTCTGGAAGGTCTTGCTAGTGTGGTACTAGGTGTTGCCTGTTTCTTTCTTCTCATCGACACCCCGGCTCTAGCCAAGCGCTGGCTGTCCCCTGAAGAAATTCGCTACCTGGAGCTTTCAATGTTCGTCAAGCAAGGAGGAACTAGTACCGGGGAGTCGGGTTTCAAGTGGAGAGACCTCAAGGTGGTCCTGATGAACTGGAGGATATACGTGCAAGCCTACCTTTTATTCTGCCAATCGGCCTTGTCTTACGGTAACAGTCGTTCAAATCCGATACGAGACATTGGGCTAATTGAAATTTCCACCCAGGTACCAAGTTCACCCTCCCGACTATCACCAGAGCCATGGGATTCAGCTCCACAAATGCCCAGCTCACTTCTGCCCCTCCATACATTGCCGGCGCGATATCTGCCATCGTGTTTGCACGGTTGTCCGATCGCTTCTATTGGCGAATGCCATTTGTCTGCATCCCCATGATATTTATCGTGGTAGCCTATTCTATTATCCTCTCCCTGAATGGGGCGCTGGAAGCAAAGAAAGGAGTGGCCTACTTTGCAGTCGTCTTGTCTGTCATAGGTATTTATCCTATTCAGCCAGGAGCTGCGTCTTGGAATGCAAACAACATCGCTCCAGCGTCTCGACGGGCTATGGGCATCGCGCTAGTGAACTGTGTCGGCAATGTCGGTGGCATACTGGGTAGCTTCATGTATATCGAGAAAGAGAGCCCCAAGTACACCACTGGATTTGGTCTCAGTTTGGCACTCGGTGGGGTTGGATTCTTGGTGGCTTTGTTCCTCGAATGGACATACAAGATGGGCAATGCAAAGAAGGCAAGGATTGCAGATGATGCGAGAGTTAACTACACGGAGGAAGAATTGTTTGATATGGGAGACAAGTCGCCCCTATTCAAGTATGTTTTGTAAATATTTTGTGGGCGGGAATGAATTTATGATGATGTTTTTTTGATATTACGATATGTCCGATAAAATGCTCCTGATGTCTTCAATCTAAGCCAGCCCAAGCCTCTTGGGCAGGTGCCATCCTATATCAAACGGTTTCGTGCTGATTTCAGTTTGCTATCTTGGTTCCTTCCGTTCTCTTTTTACTTTCCTGTCTCCCACATCTCAAACTTTTTCAATTTGCCCCTTTTCGTTGGTATTAACTCACTTAAAGAGAAGCACACCACCGCCACCATGACCATTGATGCGTTAACAACCCCATCTGAGTCGCAGCCGACCGAACCTGCCCCTACGAGTCCTTACTACGGGATGTATGGTCATTACTGGAAATCAAACAGGAATGTGCCGCCCACCAAATGGCTGTAAGAATCAGTTTGGATTGAACCGTTGAATATAACTAACCGATTCTATCAGTCAGGAGAGCAAGAAGCTCTGCGCTTGTGATACCCATCAGGCAAGCCAATGGCCGATGGAACACGCATTAATTGTGAGTGGAAACGCCCAAATAGTCCATTCCAGGCTGATGCCAATCTTCTTGGCCTTAGACGATTCCTCGCTGCGCCTACAAGTGTCCCTACTGCCCAAAGTTCGATACCCTCGATAGTACCGAGCCTCAGGTGGTGAAGCTCCGTGCTCATATCGTACGTGACCATTTGGTGAGACTATCATTCGTGAACGACTTGCGGCATACTGATGTCGATTAGAAGAGAAAACCGTATGAATTCCTTGGGCTCGCTGTCACCCCGGCCAGAGTCACAAAAGCCCGCGTGCCGTGAGTTAGCCTTGTTCAACTTCAACTACCTACTTCTAATCCCATTGATTCTTCTAGTAAGCCATGACGCTGGTAGGGTTCGGCGGTTCGTATTGCACGCATTTACGCGGCTATGGGTTCATTCCCTATTCCAAGAAGAGGTTTTGTACACCAAACAGAACTTCAATCAGAACGAATTTACGTATCTTTGCGCTTTCCCTCTTCCCTGATTAAAAACCTAGACCATTTCGGCCGAAACATGAATTCTATATGTAACCCCATCCTCGGGTTCCTTTGTTTTCATTATCAACTTCTATGATATCGCAAATAATAACCATACAGAGATACTTATCATTGCTTGGCCCTCTATATAGTGAAATAGCTACTCGGTACACCGCATTATCTAGTGCTCAAGGCAATGAAAGTGTAGTAAAATAAAGAAAGTTGTCCTTTCGAAACTAGCAAGTTCAAGATTCATCATTATTCTCAGCCATCCATAAATTTTAGCAAATAAGCCTCCTAATACCACCAAAAAAACTAGCCACATAACTAAAGCACCCGGATTGGAAATTACCAATCCGTTTCTGTCATCGTCGAATCGTTTTCGTCCTGGTTTGGCCATTCGGAACGACCTTCAAGCTGCCATGGAGCATAGATCGTTTCTTCGTCGATCAAGTCAAACGGGTTCTCGAAGTTACCATCTACCAATCCCCAGATTGAAGCCAGAGAGATCCGACGATAGTGCGGATCCTCTTTCTCTTCCGGAGGACGCTCATCGTCACTCTCATCGGTGAATTCGGCTTCATCGTCGGTGAGAGAGTCTTCATTTACGCAGCGTTTGTATTCGGCAACTATGCCGTCAGAAAGCTCTTTTCCCATCACAGTATCTTTCATCGCTTCTTCAGAAAACTGCTGTTGAAGGTGTTGGTTTTGCATTTCGAGGGTCTTCAATCGGATGTCCGTGAAGTCGTGGCTCTTCTTCCCATCCTGAGAGACCGCGTATCGGATTGAAAATTCATTCTTTTTGTCCTCCGAAATCTCAAAGCTGCCGGCCTTCTGACAACACCCACATTCGACAGTGCAGTGGCCATTTGCATGCTTGCGACGATCACCAATAAATTTGCGATCAAGGCAACATCCACACTCACGTCCACAGCAGCCTCCTCTCCTAGCGCAGTCCTCTCGAAGAACGCGATGCATGTACCATTTGGGATTTCCCCGCCAGAGCTCAAAAGCTCGGGTCAAAGGCCCATCGGAGAAAGAGTCCCGGATCGCCCACCACTCGCGCTCAACTCGTTTATATTCTTTGTTTGATTCGCTGAGCTCTTGCTCGACTCTCGCTCCACTTAGCTGATAATATTCCCAGCGCATTTCCCGTTGAGCGATCTCTCGGAGCTTAGTCTCCACGTCGAGGAACTCCGCCAAGCGATCTTCTTTGCCGTCGAGGTCTTGTTCATAGATGTACAGTTCATATCGACATCGCTGAAGGGCATTTATGTCTCCAGTCTGTCTGATCTCGTGTTCCAAACTGCCTTCCATACCACGCGTGAACTTCTTGGCTATCTCCAGCCTGATTATATTGGGTCCGGTTTCAATTTCTTGGAGACCTTTTATCTTTTTCTTGAGTTTCATTTCCTCCTTCTCGAGCTCAGCTCTGTCGTGCTTGATTCTAAGCTCCTGATTTTGGAGTTCGATTCTGAGCTCATGGTTCTCAAGCTTGGTTTTGCTGTGTGCCAATGTAATTTCATGCTTTTCGACATCAAATTCCAATTGACGCCTTTTAAGCTGACGCTCAAGCTCTTGGAGCTCGATTTCCTTTGCGGCTTCCGCCCTGGGATTGCTCATTTTGGATGTTCGTGCGAGACCAACGCTTAGTGAAATCAGATGGGAAAGGTAGAGAAAGTGGTAAGAGAATGTCAAGTCGGGGTTTTGGTTAGAATTCATACATCGACGATTCATCATGATGTAGTTCCGTATCCAATTTGGGTAACAGCTTTGACTATGTTGTATGTTTCCACGGTCATATGCGTCCGAGATAGGCAAATGATGATTAATAAGATCCCTTTATTCTGATTGGTTCCCGTAACAACAGGTGACCCACAATAGCCCCACGTCCCTGCCGCGGGTGGAGATCGGCACGCTGACATAATCCAGGGCACCCGCCGGCCGCCCGGCAAAAAGGCCAAGCCGCATGCAGTCGTGTGTCTCGAAGCTTGTGCCTTTTTTTCCCTCTTTGACTTCAGTTCTTGGTTGTCAACAGCTTTTTCTTTGTCGCGAATATTTACAACACGCGGCTCCGCACGCAATCGCCGACCCGACTGCTTTTTTATTTTATAGCGACCGCGCATACCCCCCGCCATGTCTCTTTTCCAGGCCGCCTTTGACTATGCCGCACCTGTCTTGTACGTGGTCGTAAATGACTGACCCACGGGTTCCCAGTGCTAATCAAGCTCGTGTGCAGCCTTATAAGCTCTCCGGTCACATCCTATGCCGACCAAATCTTCAGCATTCATCGCTCAAGAAGCTCGGCGGGCTTCTCCTTAGACATTCCTTTGATTATGCTGATCTCGTCGATTCTGAAGTAAGATTCCGATCGGCAGCGGGTTGAAATTCGAGGCGGCAGTTCCATGTTAACATTATTAGGATTTTCTTTTGGTTCGGCGAGTACTACTCAAGGACTTTGTTAACGCAAGCAATTGTCATGATCGTGGTGCAGATCACGATGCTCAAGGTTGCACTCGATAATCGGCCCTCTGCCGGGGTGAGAAATGGAATTGAGCACACACCCTTCAGCGGTGGTAACTCCGATGGTTCATCCTCAAGACCTTATGAGTTCTGGCAGTGGAAGGCTACCAAGCCGTAAGTTTCGGCACCTCCAACCACTGCGATCAAAGCTAATTACCTATTTTCGAAGATATTGGATGTGTCTGGCTTACTTCGTCGGAATGTTAACCACCATCCACCTTACCCCGGTCGCTCAATCGCGATTCTATATCAGCCTCCTTGGCTACATCGGACTCGCCGTCGAAGCTATCCTCCCTATCCCTCAAATCCTCGCCAACCACCGATCCGGCTCGTGCAAGGGCTTCCGATTCTCCGTTATTGCGGCATGGATTCTTGGTGACACTATGAAAATGAGTTACTTCTTCAACAGCACAGAGACCATCCCCTGGGCGTTCAAGCTCTGTGGCATCTTCCAGTGTGTGTGCGACTTCTACCTGGGCTTCCAGTTCTACTTCTTCACTCGCAACACCCCATCTAAAACACCGTCCCACTCGCTCTCCAACTCGCTCTCCAACTCGTTTGCTATCCCACACTCACACTCCAACTCACTCTCGCACAATTTCCCTGTCTCCGATTCTCACTCCCGCTCCAACTCCCAGGCTGCAAGCGAGTCTATGGAAAATGACCGCTGGGGTCATCACGAGAAGGACATCCGCATGGACTGAAACACTCGCATGATGAACTTGGACTAGACTTAATATTTATGTAGATAGGTAGCATTGGCAAACAGCACTATAGATCTGTAATTTGAATGAGATAATGTCAATACTATGATGGTTTCAAAAAAAATTCATTTCCCGGTGATTCTCCGATTGCGCGCCTGGTGAGGGGCTTGCCCCGCGTCATTTTGACTGCTCTGCTCGAACTTCTGCGCCAACGTCTTCCCCCGTAACCTCAGATCTACCGCTTGTTCTTCTCCAAATCAATAGTGCAGCTGTGTCTTACACAATGGCCGACTTGCCTACAGTCCGCATTGGCTACGTGCCCGGTACGTCAGCCTTCCCACAGCTTCCGCATCAGATGCAAAACAGTACTCCCGTGTCTATGCTACAGCCTTTGTCTCAACGAAGCCTGCCAGTCACTTCTATAGCTCTTGGACATAATATAGCTAACACTAAGCCTTTGTCTACTAGAGCACTACCTAACCCCACTCCATCTCGCACTCCGTTCCCCGGCTGTTTCTTCCCTCCCATTCAAAATCGTCGCAACTCCTTTCCCATCCGGGACAGGCCATATGATCACATCGCTCCGCGGCAATGAAATTGACATCGCCATTGGTTTGACAGAGGGATGGGTCGCAGGCTTAGCCGGGAAGCAGCAAGCGAGTCAGACATCCCCGGATGCAGATGGAGGATACAAAGTTGTCGGCCACTGGGTAGACAACCCCCTGCGCTGGGCTATAGTCACCGGCCGCAATCGGGATGAGATTACGGGAGTGTCGGATCTGAAGGACAAGAGGGTTGGAGTCAGCCGGTTGGGGAGGTAAGCTATCAACATGAGCCATGAGCATAGTATAGCTTGGAGACTGACATGTTGGCCTACAGTGGCTCGCATATCATGTCCTTCGTTCTTGCGCAGCAGCAAGGCTGGAAAGCTGACTCTTTGACCACCATCCCTCTGGGACCCTTCGGGCCGCTACGGGATGGTGTATCCGGCCTCGACGCCTCAAAGCCCGACCAGGCTGCGAACCCATCGGCTGAGTTCTTCATGTGGGAGGAATTTACCACGAAGCCATACTTCCATCCTACAGCTGAGAAACCAAACCCGCCGCTTAAGAAGATTGGCGAGATCTTCACCCCCTGGCCTTCCTGGATGATTGTCGCTTCTACGGCGCTGTTCCCCAACCCCGAGAAAGATCAGCGATTGGAGAGTCTCTTCCAGGCCCTGGATCAGGGAATTAAGGATTTCGAGGCTGATACTGCACAGGTTGTGAAGCTTTTGGGTACTGGGGAGCTCGGTTGCAATTATGTCAAGGAGGATGCAACGGAGTGGCTCAAGGATGTTAAATTCACTAATGCCACCCGCGGTGTCGATGATAAGATTATTGGAGGTGTTGTCGATGTGCTCAAGGTGGCTGGTGTTATTGACTCGGCTATGACCAATGATGAAGCTATCCAGCGAGTCATTGGGATCAAGAGGTAGCTTCCTTGGCCCTCGAAGACGGAGAAGTCACTATATAAACAGTATGCAGAGAGATCTGCTCATAATACCATTCAAAGCTAGATTCCATATATGCCACAT